AGTTTTTAACTATTAACTCAGAGGCTGAGCTGCGCTTCACAAACAATAGCAAGAACACGACGAAAAAGCAGCAGCTTTATAAAGTGAATTAAGAAAAGATGGAAATAAGTCTCGAATTAGTAAAACTTTACTGTCTACGGGCTTCGAACCTGTGACCTCGAGAACTTTCGTCTCACGAACTGCCCTCTTGGCCACGAACGCTTAACAACTGGCAAACACTAATCACAAATAAGGTAGCTACATATGCAAACAAGTTGCGAGTTCTTATCGTTGTAATGTTGTTTGAAAAAAATAGTTTTTTTGGTTCGTTTGATGAATTTTAAATGCATCAACTGAGCTAACCGAATACTATTCAAATCTCAAATCACATGCTATTATTAAACGTTAAAGGTGCCCCAAAATTGGCACCAATATTTGCGACTTAGGTTAGAAAAAAAGAATAGTTGCTGTATAGCACTAACGCTCACTAAAGATCGCTAAGGTAATTAATTGTCTATCGACAAATGGTCTGTACAAAAAAAAGCGATAAGGTCGCAGTTCAATAGCAATATTATAAATCAGTTTGCCATACAGTGATCAGAACAAAAAATAAAAATCTATTTAAAAAATTCATATTTTCAACGATCAGAGTTCATTTCATTTCGATTGAAGATTTATCTCATGAGCTTTTAAACTTTTTTTACATACCAGCAATTCTGAATTAGTAATCTCAGCAAATAATAGATCACTTTTGTGATTTTATGGGTGCTTAAATTTGCCAATTTTGTTAGTGCTCAAAAAATTTTCCAAATCAGAAAAATCTGAAGCTGTAACGACTTTTTGTTTGCAAACAGGTGGCCTTAAACCAAAGCATGAATCACAGAAAAATAATATGAATCTTTTCTTTACATGGCGGTGGGAGCGCATGGCGAGGCGGTTCGATAGAATTTTTGTGCCTTGGGATAGCCAAGCTTCCATCACGCATAACCCGATTGCTTTATCTGTTCATTTTGCAATCAAGTGAGGTAATTTTGATTTAACCCGAAGTTGTGAAATTGATTTTTGTATGCTCTCTGTATTGTTTTAAATTAAGTTTTTTCCTTGATCGGTAAAAATTTCTTGAGAAACGACTTAGTTTTTTTGAGTACTTCTATGTGATCAACAAAGTTCAGTTTGCGATCTAAAAACATAACTAACTAAATAAATTTTGAAACGTTTTCAAAATAATCCCCGCTCCCTTGATACTTATTTTTTTAATGGATTTTTTTGTGAAGTTAATCAGTTTATTTTTGTCAGTTTTTAGTGATAGCTTCTTTTCAAATTGCCAATTGTTTACCTCGTGCAGTTCAACGATCAGCGGGTCTGTGTCCCGTTTGTTTATCAGAGCTGTATCGCATTGCAACACGTATCAATATCATTCAAGTGAAATATGAAGAGCAGGGGACCAAGGAAAGAACCTTGGCAAACTCCAAACACAATGTTTTCATTTTCAGAAATAAACGGTTCTATAAAAAAAACAAATTGACTTTTTTTTGCTCGCGTAAGATTTAATTAAGTCATTCACTCTCCCTCTAACTCCGTTATTGTGAAATTTATCAAAAGAGATAGAATGCTCAACTGAGGAAGAGTGCTCAACTCATCCAAAAAAAACTCAAATCAACATTTTCAGACTTGTTTTCCCAGATGTCCCGATTGTTTTGAGATAGCTCTATTAGTGCATCAATTGTTCCCAATTTTTGTCTAAAATCAAAATGAGTTTGAAATTTTCAAGACAGCTAGTAATGCGATGAGTTTGAAATTTTCAAGACAACTAGTAATGCGATTATAGAGCAAACGCTCAAAAACTTTACTTTGAGTGGAAAGTAATGAAATAGGTCTAAATTTTCCGAATGCGAGAGATCACTATCTTTGTAGATTAGCGTTACTTCAGCCAACTTGAAAACATCGGAATAAATCGAGTGCATAATGCAACGATTGAGGACATTTGTTAGCGCTGGTACGATACCAAATTTCAGTTTGTTCAGAGCAAACAGATGAATTTCATGTGCGTCTCTACGAACTTTGATGGTAAAACAGTTCATGATGATTGATACTTCAATTTCAATAGTTTCTCCCATGGAGTAAAAAATAAATTCGTTTTACAGCTACCTAGAAGTTTTTTAAAATCCAATTGAGACCCATCTGTTGCAAAATAAAGAATAAAGTTGTCTCATGCTTATTTAGAAGCCTCAGGCAAATTGGATTTCTTATCTTTGCCAGTAACTTCCGAAAGAACCTTAAAAGACTGCCGACATTCACCAGTGACAGAAGTGACAAGTGAAAAAAACCATGGTGACTCATAGTACAGTAACCAAAAATTGAGCAGTTGAGTTTGTTCTGATAGCTTTTTTTTTTTAGATTTCTTTAAAATATATTTCGTCCGATTTCGTTGTTAACAAAACTTATCTTTAGATTCTTTGTTTTTAGGACGCAAGTAATCACGGTCGGTAGAATTTGTTTCTTTTGCTTACAGAACTTTTCATTCGGTAGTTTACCCAGTTGCTTTATGGTTTTGTATCGTCCAATCTTTTTGGAATTAACCGTAAAATTTCCCGATCCGTCAACACAACAGTTTTACCACAAGTCGAGTTGCATTTATTAAAGTCTCAGTTTTTGCTTGATTTCTGTTTTTCATGATGTAAGCGACAAATCAGCTTCTCACATAAAAATCGTAGCTCCAAGTATTCCAATCCCTACTTGAAATTGGATTTCCTTCCACAGGATCAACTGCTGAATTAGTTTCAGGTTTAACAGTAAAGCTATCTCTTACTGTGGTTTTTGTTACGACTTTCGATACGAAAGTAACGGAATATTTGTGCTCGGGGTGGGTTTTTTTTTTTCTTCAGACAAATTTCGACTTTTTAACTAGCAATTTTTGACGGAATTTTTTTTATATCATTCGAAAGGTAATGTTGTCCTGAGCTCAAATTTGAAAAGATATTTCATCTGTGATCATTTTTCGTAAAGTTACGGGGGTTTAAAGATTGGCATTTTGGCCAATTTGGGACAATTAACGCGCGATATATTTCGCGCTATTAACGCGTGAGCGGAGAGTTAATCTGTGTGAGAAATCGTTCCAAATTGGTTGAAATAAGCGTATTTGCCATAATTGATTTGTTACAAGGAGCGAGATCTATCCTTTTGTACTTTATATGGCGTGTGGGGGGATGATTTTCATAAAAAATTTCAAATTTTAGGAAATTTTTTTTTTCATTTTGTTTTATTTCATTTAATTTTCCGTGTTATTACTGCTCCATACACGTTAAGAGGCAGTCGGAACATTCAGGGCCTCGCCCTGATACGTGCAATCTTGTTAGTATTTCAACTGCACAGTTTTGATAATAATTGCTGTGAAAAAAACATCAATCGGTGATTTTAAAGTTATTTGTTCCCGTGAAGCAGTAGACGATTGCAAAAATAGAATAGAATATTGGAACTGCAAAACAGCTTTTGATTGGTTGTCCTACGGGAGACAGATCTCAAGTGTTCCTTTATTAAATCCCCGCATACAATGTGTTCACTCATTTCAGAAACCTTAATGCCACTCAGATGATCCTCTAAGACTTCGGTAACTTTGTAAATGCGCTCGTGGGACAATGTATAAACAGGTTACTAATGAATTCGACTTAAATCGAGGACAAATTGCTGGTAATAATTAGTATTTTGTTACACTGAGATTTTTTGACACTCGAAACATTTTATCCGCTATTACAAAAACGCCAACGTCACCTCTTTTATTAAGACAGCAATGTTTAAATGAGTGATCACCCTTTTAATTGAGAAATCCGGAATCTGAATTCTTTTTCTGCCATGAGTTTTACGCAAATAAAATGTGGACAACTTGAGTAACTTTTATCAAAATTTGTAGATCGCTTATGCTTCTGCTAAAGGATTTAATTTTTTGAAGCACAATTTCCGGTATCACGGCCAAAATCAACGCACCTTTATTCCAAAAATTTATATTTAGAAAGCCAAAATTGTTCCGGTCATTTCCTTTTTGAACCATTACTGAGACCACGCAGTTACTTGACAATGTAAGATAACCTTGTTTTGATGCAACTTTTTAAAGTCCAGCTTCATCTTTAGGCAATCTTTCATTCAAAAACATTGGTTGATGATTTTTCGGGTTAAATTTATTCAAGTATTTCCTTGCTCTATAAATATTATCCTTTTCTTTAGAATAAACAGATTTTACTATAAAAATGGGATAAAAACTACCGAAGTCCCCAAGTAAATCATGGCAGGCTTTAATCCCGTCTGGGTTTATACTTTTTCCCAGAAAAAAAATCGAACAAAAAATTTACCAGGTTTGCACTAGCTCGTGCAGCAAGGGGGGGTTCCTGATTATTATCTTCTGTTGATTGGACTTCAGCGTCCATGATAGTCAAATAACAAGTATAAACCAAGAAAATTTGGAAAACAATCCCGTAAGATTTACCTTTTTAATCCCTTTATAACACCTTTTTAAAATCAGTTCAAACTTCACGCGAAAGTTTTAGCTCAAAGGTTTTTTTTGAAGGTCAAGCAGGCAGCTGAATATCGGCTTTCATTCTTAGCTTTTCTCTACTTAACCAACGTGGGGTTGTTTTTTTTCTACTATTAACTTTTTCGGTCATTTTAGGGGCAGTCATGGTTTCTTCAAAAGATCAAGAAAATGACATCATTTTACTTGAAAATATTTTATTGCACAACATTTTTTCATGGACTAGTTCAAATAATGATTCATGTTTTTTTTCACTGTGCTAGCACGATTGTGTGACAACGCAATTCTAATTGTAGACACTAGCTTGTAGATCAGGTAACTAAAGTCTGTACAACTCGTTTTGTTTCATTATGAATTTACTAAAAAACTCTTCAAGCTTCATTCTAAAAAATTTCTATCTTATCTATCTATCCTATTCTATCTATCCTATCATAAGTTTTTATCCTATCTATAATGTTTTCTTGTGCAAGGAAAAAAGCTTCAAGATCTATAAATTCTACTGCATTGAAACGCATCAGTAAAAATTAAATTAAATAATTAGTCCATTCGCTAGCACCAGGGGTAAAAATAAATATTTAAAAACATTAAAACTGAAACTAAGCAAACTCTAAAATCTGTCTCATTAGTGGCCGCGCTATTTCCGCCAATTCTGCCATCATTGCCGTTATTTGTATTGTAAAAATCATTATTGCCTTCATTTCCTTGATTATCTCTTGGGTTTACGCTGAAAAAATTTGAGTTTGCATCAAAATTATTATTGTTGTTGTTCCAATTGGCATCAATACTTGAATCTTCGGCTGGAAATTTTCCGCGATCAGGGGTCAAAAGGTCAGATGAGGATGCAACTGGAGTGTTGTTTGGCAGTGGATGGTGGGGCGAAGATGACGACGGTGTTTGAGAAGAGGGGGAGGGTTTATAGGGCTCCTTGTAGTTTATAGTTGCACCTGGGTGTGGCACTCTTTGGAATCTGAGAAACTCTTGGCCAGCATTTTCTTGGTCTAAATAGTTTTTATGAAAACCAACTTTGCTCTTGGAAACCAAAATCTGGAGGTCTCCGTGTTAATAATACTTTCATTGAAACATTATATAGATATTGTATCTTAGTGTTTCGAGAAAAATTCAACCAGAAATTTTGGGTTCTTTGCTATTATAACCCGCAGCTTAATAAAAAACTTAATTTAGCCCTTTACACTGTGATTTGACTATTATTGGAGGGGGGCATAATGGAAAAGAAAAGAGCAAATTTTTGATATGTTTCGATTTTCAAATCAGCCTCTGATTTGTCAAGTATAATTTGAACGATTCAAACAAACTAATCAGACCTGTCTGTTTTTCTTTTGGCTTTTTCTCGTCGTTTGCATTTGGCTGCCGTAGCTTGTAGTAGTATGTTGAACTGTAATTGCTCCCTCCTCCATCTGTCAAATGGTTTTCTAAAAACAAACCTGGTCATGTACACTTTTTATTAAGTAATTTATCACTGGAAAGGATACATTACATGCTAATGGTTGTAGAAATAGAAGTTAGATCGTTCTGTAATGGTAAGAGAAGCTTCAGGGTTATTAATATTATTTTTTCAAATCGTTTTTTTTGAGAGTTTGATTTAAATAAATTTTGAAGTTCACTAAAATACATGGAATGAAGCTGATTGTATTCCGTTGACCGGTAAATCTAAAAAATGAGAAAACTTCTCAAAATTATTTTAACTTGTTATTGGAGCTTTCGAACTGAACATGCTTGGAAGCGGAAAATTTCCCTACAGTATTTTTCAAAGACTCCAAAAAGAAATAATTTCCCGGAAAACTGCATAAACAAATAATTTGGTAGTTGGTTTTTATACGTTAGAGAAAACAAAAACTGATACCATCAAAACATTAATATTTTTCTTTTCGCCTCAAGTCAAATGCAGAGAACTGAACTGTGCAATCAAGGTCATTCAACATATTTTTGATTGATCTGGTTGTTGGGAAGTTTTCCAGCCTCACAATACTTTGTTTGTTATTCCCTTGGCATTTAAATCAGGTCAGGAACATAAAACAACTTATGGTCAAGCCTTGCTTCTTCTTTGATTTTAATAGGTACAAGTTATCATTTATTGACTTAATTCGTTCCCTCAAGCAAAAAAAAGTATATAAAATAAAATAAATAAAAATACACTAAGAAACTCAACCTTTAATGATTTGTTTGTGACCTGCAAAATCACCTGTGATTTATTTATATTCACTAATGCGGAACCAAAATCAATCAAGCCTTCAGAAAAAATGCTGAAATGAGACAAAAAAATCTATCAAACTGCAACATAATACTATCTTATTTTCTTAACCAACTGATGTTTTTTCAAGGGCCTGCTGAAAAAGTTCAGATAATAGACATTTACTTAGGCACTTAATTTCGGTTAAGCGATGACTCATTTTTCATTGTAATAGGTGAAAAAACTGTCAAAGTGTTCAGAAAAAGGGCTGAAATAATATAACCCGTCCCTTTAGGGTCGTCTTTCATATCAACATGGGGTAAAAGGGGTCTGAAAATGAGAGGATGCAAATTAAGGGGAGACTCGATTTGGGAAATGAAAAGAAAATTCATTTCCGCACACGAAGTACAAAAAGTCAATTCCCATAATTGTATTTTTTGGATTTATACAGGTATACTTGTTTTTTGTATGACTATGGCATAAAAAAAACATTCTGAAGCGGAGATCAACACGCATACATCGCAAAAAATTTTTAAAAAACCGTGAAAATGTTCTTCACGATGAAAATTTTTAGCATACAAAAATCAGCAGCAACAACTTATGTTTTTTTTTAGATATGAACATTGGGATCTCTTTAGCTTACCCCCCTCCCCCCGTCTATGTTACCCAGTGAAGAATAATCACCCCGATACAGAACTAAATCAATGGTAAGCATGTGCCGGTTTTGTACCTTAAATATTTCCCCCTTGTGTAGTAGCGGGAAAACACTTTTTATCCGAAAAATTCTTTCGTTTTTTCACAGAAAACAGTGATTTGGAAAATTTCGATAGAAGACTATAAAACATTTGCCGATGATTATCTTGAAGTTTCCAAAACATTGATAATCTAATCGCGTTCTAAATAGTTCCATAAAAGCAAAATTGAATTAGAAAAAGTGAACCGAAGCAGAAATTATAAAATAAATCAGAAAAGTCAATCATGGTCAGTTAAAATCTGCGAGCAAATCAATCCCAAACAATTCATCAGGCAAAACAAACTTGATCATGAGTCAGTCGGTTACTCAACTACATTGATATGAACTCACCGTCTTTGAATAAAGATTCAGCTAAAAGAAACAAAAATTGAAGAAATGATTTTTAAGAAAGAGTTATTTGCAACTTTTCTTGAAGATTTTGACCAAAACATAGCTTTAAAGTTAGATAATCAAATAGTTGTGAAAAATTTATCTAATTTTTATTGTTTATAATATAAATAGTGCTTACCTGCTTCAATTTCGTCTGCAATTGGCAAATGCTCGTGGCTGTAGCCGATACCTAAATAGCTCATTTAATAACTGTAATGTAGCAAATATGGTTTTAGTTTTATTGTTTTTTGGTACTTAGTTTTTATTCTTTCAAACTCAATAAAAACTTAATATGATGATAAAAATCCATGTTCTCAAAATGGAACGGTTTCAATCATAATGAAGGCCCATTTTTTCAAACGTCTTATTTTAAATAACAGTCTTTATAAGTGAAATGCTTAATAAAATTTGGCGCCCATGATGCAAAATCAGCGCCATTGAAACAAAAATCCATTTGCAACCAAAATTTGAACCGTACAAAACTACCATAAACTCTTCATGGCCAAAATATTTGCGCCATAAGATTCACTAACTGTCATCTCTGAACTCGACAAATATGGACAACTTCAGTCGATACTGTTCACACATGTTGTACACTCTCTGCTCTTTGTGTTGTGTCTCTTTGGAAGCAGAATCGTGCCGTCTGGTTTTCGGCTTCCGGGTGGCCCCTTGTCTTTCACCCGCATCGTCCATCATCACCCCTCCCCCTTCCCCCTCCCCGCTTGGGGTTATAAAGAGATTATTGGGTAGAGCCTGCCTAATTGTGTGGGGCGAGGGTGTTGTTTGGTATTCTGGTGTCCCCACGTCTGAAAAATGCGGTTTGTTTCTTATTATACAATTGCAGAAGCGGCTCCAAAATTTTCTCCATAGGGCGGATTTTCAAAACAATTTCGAATGTTTTGCCCACCAAATTGGTTTTTAAATCACAAGAAAAACAAAAACTGCTGCACATGTAGGTCACTGGTTTGTCAAGTTAAGGGAATAGTGATCTATGATCCTCTATGTTCCGACCATTCTACAGGATCTCGCAAGGAAATAACTCCTTTATCAAAACACTTCAGTTGTATTTCATATAGTGAAAAGATATCTTGAATTTTAAAAGCTGATTAGCTTTATTTTGGCATTCATTTCACCCACCTATGAGGAAGTATGGCTTTGCAAACTGGAATCTGGGCTGATCAACCAGTGAAGGGTATCTATACACTGGCAACTGCATCTTCAGCCTGTAATATTTCATATCTTCACGATACAAATCACTACAGTTCAATTCCCAAAGAGGCTTCCGTGTTTGTTGTGATTGTTGTCGTTGCTGTTGATTTGCACTTGATGTCATGTAGTAGGATGAAGATGATGATTGCTTGCTGGAATTTAGGTTTAATGATTCTAGCGTTGGCTGGCTGTCGTTGAAATTGCACCGAAGATAATCTAAACAAAAAATTCAGATTATTGAACAAATTCATTCAGTTTGCAAACATTTTGTTTCGTAAAGTTTTAATGCTTTATTTGAGCTCTGCGGGAAAAAAAAAAAGAATCAAAAAAAAAAAAATCTCAGAAATTATTTGAGTTTCCGAGACTGTTCGTTACAGTCAGCTCATGAATCAAGGGCTTGTTAGTTTAAAATCTTTTCTTCGACAAAATTTTCTTGAGAAAATCAAGTGTCCTTAGTCAATGGCGATTTATCATAAAAACTATCAAAAGCTAAAGAAATCTTTGAAATTAATAGGGTTATAAAGGGCTTTATTCGGCGTTTGTAGTTTCTTTGGTCCGATATATGTTGTCCATATGTGCCTTTACAACCCTAAACCGTGTTTTATTAGATTTGTTTTTTATCGGGTTTTCCAAATCCATCGACCTTGAGAAGAGCTCGGATCCCCCTTTATAGATTTAATTATATAAACTTTTGTTTAATTTGTTCAAGCACCGTGTAAACTCCTGGATAAAAAACTGTTTAATAGTGACCCATTTATTGATTTATTTGTGAAGTTCCTAAAACTGCTAGACATGTTAACAAGAAACATGCCTTCACATAAAAAATAACAACTCTGATTCTGGCAAACTTTGAATTGACTTTTGAAATACAATCAGTCTTTTGCTATCTCAAACAGTCGTAAAACCCCATCTGATTTGGCGTTCCTCCTTCTAATGCAGTCAGATTATCGGGGGATTTGCTGTGTAAACTCACTTTAAAGCTCAAAATAATTCTTTTATTTCCAAATCTGCGTCTTAAGTGAAAAACTATGTAGGTGGTATCCGGTTTAACCGAAAGAGGAAAACAAAATTATTTTGGCTCTATTCTGTCCAGAACAACAGTTTGTCTCTAATTTTAATATCAGGTGAAATTTTCGAACCCAGGAGACAATTTCAGACCATATAGTCTAATTGCAATCTACGCGTGCAAGGTTTGGAAAACATTTTCTTTTCCCTCAGTTTCGAATTCGCTATGATAGTGCGATTTGGGCCCGGTACACGCTGCATAAATTCCCTGGAAGGCAAGGCAGAGCTTTCAACCGATCCTTGGGGATTTAAAATAAAATGTCTCCTAAGTAGTAAATGGAACTTAGTTTATCAGCGCAATCACGGAAATTGTCAAGGTAAAAGGAGTTGGCTGAAGTTTTTGGGAAATACAAAATTTACTTTCGTTACCCATATGAATTTGTAAACATTACTTGCAAAGTGCGTCTAATTAACACCAACTATCCCCAAGCTGTCTGATTTTGTTTTATAACGAAGCTTAAAATTTAACTGCAAGGTTGTACTTGGACAAATACATGTAATCGGAAAGAATGTGGGCTAAATTTAATACCAAATATGGAATTCATAAAATGTAAAAAAGTGTTATGAAACGGAAAACCTCGGGCATTCAAACTTGATATGTTGACTTTAGGTTTGATTGAACATGGATAAGATTAATTTTTGAGACCTCAGTGTCAATAGGGAAGCTACTTCGTTTGCAACCGGACATCAAACGGAATTCATTATAAAAGGCTCAGTAAGATTTACAGTTCTATTTTTATAATCACTTCTTATTTTCGGATCTAATGAGCTTTTCGCCGAAAGTTGAGGACTCCATTTTCAGGTCTGGTTGTGGGTTTTTTTGGTTTATCATTTAGCGGTTGTTTGTATGGCGCTGCACATTAAAACTGAAATTTACTTGCTTTTTTGGCATTTTTGCAGGCGCGGATCTAAAAATTTTAAGAAAGGGGACAGAATTTTGAAAACATGCTAGCAAATTCAGCAGAAAAATTGAACAAATTGCGGTAAAATTGAGTCAGCAGTTTTTGGATATCTGATATTAGACAGTTATGGAAATCAATGAAGGTCTTATTAGACGCTATGATGTCAATTAGAAGTAGGTGCTCTCTGGTATACCGAAAAAGTCAAGGGACATAACTAACCCTATATTCTAGTATAACTACCTCTAATTCATGTAAATAGTGGTTTGGAGATATTAGCAAACTTTAAAAACAAATCAGTCAGTTGGTCTGAAATAATGAAATAGCCAAAAAACTCCTTGTTCAAGGTCTTCAGATTAACTGTTTCAAAATAAAGTTGAAACTCTGATTAAATATCTGAGCTGAATTTTAAAAAAAATTGGACACAACGTTCAAAATGATGGACGTATTCCATGTTTCATTCGGCAGTGGGAAACCTATAAAAACTAAATTTTCACTTGCTTTTTTCCCAAAGATAAGTGCTAAAAACAGGAAATGGAAATGGTTTTCTGAAATGAAAATTTAAAAACTTTTTACACAGATTTATCCGGAGCTTGTGATTATTAATTAGTCAACAGTAGAACACAAATGTCGTTCTGTATTGTTCGGTAGGCCAATAGAAAGCTGATTTTAGACTTTTTTTGCAAGAAATTTCACAATTCTTGCTGGTAGGTTTGTTTTGAATTTCAAACAATCAATATTCAGTAATTAAGAAATTACAACACGGACAGTGATAAAAAAAAACTGACTAATCAGTTCTGTTCCGCTAATAACAAATCAATTTTCAAAAAAAAATTAGAAAAATTCAACGAAACTCGACTCCGTTCATTTTCTACGTTGTGTCTAATTTTTTTTCCTCAGCTCCAAAAATTCAGGCGAAATTTGATTGTATTTTGATTAGGCTAGTCTGAAACATCCTGAAGTTCATATTTAAGGCTAAATTAAACTAAGTTAAACTAATGACGACTGAAAAGACTTCAATATAATATATAAATCAACCCAGTCCGATAAGTATTTGTAGTACCTGATTTTGCGTGAAAAACAAAAAAAAGTGAAAAACTAAAAGACATCCGAGTACAAAGCTCCCCATTTTCAATGGTCAAAACAAAAAATTCTTTTTGGATTCCGATTCACTTCTGAAAATTCTCAAAAAATAATAATTCAGCTGAATACCATCTGACTTTTATTTGCGGTTAACTTTATTTGCGGACTTTATTAACTTGATTTTCCGTGGAAGAACACGCTCTGCTCATAGATCCTTTCAACTCCTAGAGACTCAGAAATCAGACGGCACGGTAAAAAATAACTCCCAAACAGTGGCTGTACTGTGACTTTTTCAACCACGGCATAGATTTCAGCAAAACGAACAAAAATTGATTGGTGAAAAAAAATGTAAGAAAAAATTGATTGGTGAAAAAAAAAGATACCAAGAGACAGTGCTGAAGGCAGATCAAAACATGCAACAGAAAAAAATTGTTTTTTTTTAGCATACGCTTTTTATAACAAACTACAAAATTTGATTTTGTCACTGTTACAGAACAGTATTTTGAAAGGTAACTGAAAGTGTTTCAATAGGATAAATCACAAGATCGTGTAGGAAGTTCGTGCAGAAAGTACACAAGATCGGATAAAAAGACCAAGAAGAAAATAATTAAGTATCACACTAAATTCTATTAAATTAAATGTCCAATTGTTTTTCCGACGCAAAATGTTGTACCACAAATGTTTTCGGATGGATTTGACTCTCATATATAAATGAAACCTTTTCAAAACAAAACTTGAAAATTCAATTTGGATGTCAATAACAAAATTTTGTTAGTGAGTGTAACTTCCCTTATTTCGAAACAACTGCCAATTTAAAAAAAAATTGAAAAATTTGCAATTAGCTACTCTTAACAATTTTCTTAACCATTTGATTCCGGGTAATTTTGTAAATGATAAATAATAAAAAAATTGTTTTCAGGCTCACAAATTTGTATATTAGTGTAAGATATTGGTAATAACTATATCATCTTGTGAAGCCTGAGAGAACGTCTTTAGACCAAATGGTCCGTTTTCAAACGTCTCTGATGTTTGAAAACGGTGTTTTCTGCACCTGAGAATTGGTCAGTTAGTAGAATGCGGGACTGTCTATGGCTGCAGGTGATCTCCAGTCTGTCTCCTATGTGCACCCGCACCAGGTGTCCACTAGACCCTCGGAATCTACACCAATAACAGAAAGAGTTATGTAATCCAACTAGGCATTATCTAACATTAAAAGCGACTTGTTATATAATCCATAAGTATCAATTTATGCTTTAGGAAATTCAATTTTGTATAGTTTGCACATAAAATAAATTCCAATTTGCACATAAAGCCATTTTTAATCATAAATTAAATTCCAAAAAAAAATTGAAACATTTACATTTGTTGAATAACCTGTTTTGCCACAGATACCGGGGAAAATCGGAACCAAAAACGAACATGGACAAATCAGAAGTTTTCTGGAAACAGAAACTCGAGCATGTATAATTACGCGTTAATTCCAGAAATTCTAAATTTTTCGAATAAGCTGACGTACACTTTGTTGTTTTTGTTCCAGTCAATCTCGATCACAGAAGCTCCACCACGCGTAAATAAAACTGCAGTCATTTCCAGAAATAGTGCCACCCGCAGAACACGACCTAGCAGCGCCACCACGCGGCAACACCCACCGCCTCCGTCACCAAACCAACCCCCGCTGGTTATAATATTATAACTGCCTTCTCTGATTTGTAATAACTGATTCGATAAATGTAATGATTGTTTCGGTCGGGATAATAAATCTTCACAGGTGGTTGATTTCATATCGATGTTTACCAGTGAATCATTTTTCTGTGATGTTTCCAATCCAAGACTTCTCCATTAAGAAGAGGGTTAAATTCAAGGTCGTATGTGGTAATTCTAGATGAAATCGAAAAGTAGATTGGATCCTGATTTGTTAACTTTATTTGGGAAACAAGTTCACATTCGGAACAACTTCCTAAAACAACAATTTAAAATCATATAATAATATTACAAGATTTTTCCGAAATAAAAAAAACTCCAATCATAAAATCAACGGTTTTTCTAATAAAAAGGTAGGTCGTAAAGGTAATAGGATACCTTTCAGGCACAGATCTTGAACTACCATTTGACGTTCAGGCGTTCAAAATAAACAAAACAGCTCAAATTATTCATTGAAAAGGCCGGTATGTAAAAATAGATATTTATCACTTGGTTAATCAAGGAGAACAAAACAAAGAATTTTACTTTTGAATGTACCAGTAAGCAACAAAATTTTATTTTTATGATACACTTTTCATTCTCTGCGTGTGTTGGCTGTAGAAGTTGATAAAAGTTCGCTTAATGATCTGAATTTTATTTGTTTGATGGTGCTTTTCGGCTTGAGCTTAACGTGTTTACTTAATACCATTTTTATTATTTTCGATAAATTTACGGTCTTGCTTGATCAATATGTCTGCTGCTCACTGGATCATTAAGAAAAAGTGAATACCTCAAAAAGTATGGTGCAAATTCAGATCTCAAATTATGCACGTTAAATTCGTAATTGATTCTGTGTATTCTGAAAAGAAATAAAAATCTTCATCAATCGAATCAAGTGATTTGGGAGTTTTAAGGTTAATAAGCCACCTTGTTAACAAAAGTGACAACTAACGGATTTTTGTCAAAGTTTTTTATCAGAAAAAAACTTTGTGGCATCAGCGAAAACTTTGTCAAACCCGCTTCAGCGGGGCCGTTTGATTGCTAAGGCTGTTGCATGAATGCGCATTCTCAAATAATGACAGTTCTAACGTTTTAAAACACCAGGTGTCGTAATTTGCTTTTAAACTAGTGAACTTCGTTTTCTGGAGGTAGTGCCACTAGTTTTTTGTTTTCATTTTAAGGTATACATAGATTCATTTATCCTTGAGAGTCACATTTTACCAAAAGAGTTTTGAGGAAACTGTTTTCAATTGATTCGGAGAGCTCCATTGATTCGTTAGTTTTTTTCCTGTTTTTTTTGTTCCTTGCGTAGGTAGAGATTTCCACCCAAATGTTAGTATCCAAAAAAGCTCCTATCAAGTAAATTCTGGTTTTACTTAAAAACATACTGGCCGTCAATCGAATTCCGAACAAATTAGAAACGTTATTGTAGTGTCGAGAAAAATTGGTCTGAGATGTAAAAGAAATTGAGTTAGCTTACTGCCTACTTCTACTGTTTTTTAAGGTGACTTTTTGCAAAATAATTAATTCTAGCAGATTTTTTTTAAATTGAAACACCTCCCTATGACTGTTAAAAAAAGTTATAAGGTTTTGTGTTTGCTTGTTTTTTTTTTAATTGTTTCATTAGGTATATGGGGTCAAAAGATTCAATGAAGTTCTGAAAAACTTTACCACAAAGTTTTTGTCTTAATTTTTTTTGCAAAATTTATTCCCTAGTTGTAATGGCACCTGTGAGGTTCATTTCCTGCTCTCAAAACAGCCAAATAGTTCAAACGGTACTTTTTCAGCAAAATATTTTTTTATTTGACTTCGAAAAACTACGTAAGAAATCCAGAAAATAAACAAGGATAACCGGTTACTGTGCAAGTAGCACAGAATGTTCCGACCAAAGTCTTTAAAATTTCTTTAAAAATATTTTAGTTTTTTTCTGCGCTGTGTGATAAAAGATCTGACGTAACATTAAAATCTTTCAAAAAATCAATTTTTTTTTTCATTTTTTTGCAGAAATTTTTTGAAGAGATTTCAAATCGGTTTTTCTAAACGCTAGTAAATAATTTTTAAAATTTTTAAAATTTCGTTCAAGCTACAACTGAAAGCGCATGAATATGATATATCAGTCAACTCTCTCGAAGGATTATTTGTGGTATAAAACAAAAAAAACGAAAAAAGGTAACACATCCGATTACAAAGTTCTTCCCAACTTTTCGAATGGCCGGAAAAATTAACTTGAAATATAAAAGTGGGAAAAATTGTGATGCGAAAATTTGGCTTAAGCGACGACTAGTCGCAGGCAAAAATTGAAAACAATAGAAGCGACGATTTGTTGCATATTAATCTGCAATATTAAATTTTTTGAAAATTGAATAAGTTGATCTAGCAATGCACAGCAACCAAATATCATGCCTTAGTAAATGTGGGGTTCAATATGAAATAATTCATGAAACTAAAAAACACAAAAGACACCATAATTGAACCTTGTTCTTCAATTTTTGATACATAGATAATTTATACAAAAAGCTAGTTATGGCACAAAAACATTGAAAAGATTCCGAACAATTTGTTCACGGCTAGAGACAAAACGACAAAATATTTTTGTATTTTTATATTTGTGAATCTTGCTGGGAGTGTCAAAGCACTATTCCAGGCCAAAAGTTTTCATCTTTGTTGAGTTGCTATTCTACAAAAGATCATCAAATTTTGCCACAGCCAAAGGTTCATAGTTTGTAGAGCTATTTGGTCAATAAAACTGCAAGTAGTCTAGAAAAAGTGAACAATTACCAGCAATATCCCAAAAGTTTGCAAAAAACCTCCTGCCAGAACAAATCAAGAATGAGATAAGACGTACTCTACTTTTTAAAGCCAATTTTTTCCAAAATATTTTGTGAACTCTTTATTATTTGATGTAACTTTGATTTGAAAAAATCATTTTCGAACCTTTTTTGTTACGCTCAAAACAACTTTAAGACATAATCATTAGTGCAAAAAAAATAATATTTACCTGTTTGATTTTTCTCTGAAATTCCAAGTCCGGATTGCAAGTCTATAAATTGGTTAGTTTCACTCATGAATTGGTGGTTAATGTCAGAAAAAAAACAGCGTTTCAATTAAGACAGTAGCTCCCAATCATAATACAAATTGACAGCATGGAAAGAAGGACTATGAAGTAACAGACAATGGCTTCATCAGCGGTAGGCATTCAGACGAGGCTACGGGACTCCTAGATTGCCATAAAGGCGCTGAAGGTTCAGTTAAATAGATTTATAAACAATTGTGTAGAGATGTTTATCGAAAACAATAAGCGTCGGAATTGAAATCGACCAATGTGTATATAAGCACCATGCAAAAAGGAGACGAACAATGAATGCTATCTTGATACGTGTTTGGTTTTGTTGCCAATGTTATTCAAGATGGTATCTTTTCTACGTTTTGTTTTGTTACCACTTTCAATACGTGTTGTCTGAATTTCAGATGGCGCACGTTTTAGAATTATTAATGGAATAAAAAGCTTTAAATAATTTCTATCAGAAATTATGGAAAAATGTAAATGATCTATCTCAAATTACCATTACAATACGCAAATATAATCAATAATAGGTTAATAATTCCAATAAAAAATTATATCTCACTGCAAATACATAGGAAGCGTTGTTTTCTTACCTGCTGGGGAAGTTTATTAGAATAAAGATATAACAGGTTATAACATTGAGTAATAATAATTTTCTTTGAGGGCAAAGTACTCGAATGTCATTCAACTGTCGTCGTGTTCGGTGTCAGTTTAAGGGCAAAACTGATCGTAAAACGGTATTTTTGCCCAGTCTTTGTAAACACGGTAACAAATTATAGCTTCGTTTAAAAGCGTTCTTCAGGGGTTTGTTTGTTTTCAAGCAGTACTCTGTTAGCTAGACTACTTAAATGGTCCTCTGTCAAATTTTGAAAGTATCGGGCTAAAATTGTAAAATTAAGAAAGTGAAAACACAATGAAAAAGATAAATTTAACTTATCTTTTGAAGAATGCTTGCCCAAATAGAGGGTCTAACTAAATTTGTTCCAATATTATCCCGACAGAGAAGAAAAACAAGGAGTTTGTAAAATTATTGGGTGAAATTACTTCACACATATGCCCTTGCTTGGCGCTATTTTCAACTAAACTCCTTTAAAATATACCTTTTCGCTTTTCACCCAGAACTGTCTTCACAGTTTTGTTTGAATAGAAGAGGGAAGAAAAATACAGGGAAATAGTGGTAGTTCTTTTCCTTTAGTGGATACCCTGTGTATTTAGTATATGTTCAGTAGTCCCCTTACTACTTGAGCAAAGCAAGCATTATTGGTTGTCTGAACAACTTATAGAAAAATGCTTTGGAGATAGATTCCCTTTTTCAGCAAGTATACTTCGTATGATTTACCTTCCGGCAACAATTTTCAGTCCAAGTTATTTTCGCCTAATTGGGCACATGAGCGACATTTTTCAAACCATGGGGCGCCAGTTTTGGGTTTTGATTGGACAAAAAAATCACAGGTAATAAATCAAATCAACCAGCAATCATTTAGAACGCCTGAAGTCTCTTTGAATCTCCAAGTATCCATCCCACCATGATGGTATTTATTTAAAAAAGTCAGAAAAATTCTTCCAGCTTAACTAAAAAATACCCACTAATCTAGACTATAATGTCAATGCAACTCACATATAATCAAAATGTCATTGATTTAAAGGGAAAAATGGTTAGGCTTTTATTAATGATATTCAGAAACAATCCACAATCCAAGAAATTATAACATGGTTTAGCCTGACTTAATGCTGTGCGGCGTCACGTAAAAAAAGTGCGCTCATATTTTAATAACTTTTCAATGACGTTTTTATCTTTTAAGAAACCATGAATCGCAGTAATTTTGAGAAAGTCAAAAATACTAGTTTTGCGGGCAGCGCTCGAAAAACAGAAATGGTAACTGGAAGAGAAAATTTTCGAAACCGTCTTCCCCCGTCAAAAAATTTCTGCCTTCCCGCTGAGATTTTAACGAAAAAGTGAAGGGAAAACACATTTGTTCAGCTGAATAAAATTTAACTTACCTGTTTGAATTAACATAAAAATGAATGAAATTATGAGTTTAGGGTCTGAAAGAAAAATCAAAGAGACGAATCGAATTACTGAACGTAATTTGTATGCATCTGCTCCAAAAGAAATCAATAATTGCATTACATCTACATTTTTCTGTCTTTTTCAATGGGAACAATACATCGAAAACGTCTGCTGGTTATTGTCATGTAATTTTAGCCATTTATTACCCAGTCTTTTTTTTCTTCTCCGCTATGATCTATTGCTTTTTTATCCAAATGGATAAAATTGTTAATGTCTCCGCCAGACAAATTTTACCTTGACTCTGATTTTGGCTATTGTCTACTGATTTTGAGGTTGATAAATTGCTTTTGCGACGGCAGAATTTCGTGTAATATTGTAAAAAGAACAAGTATAGCGCGCATGTACTGGAGATTTCTCCTGGGTCAACCTTAATAAATTTTTAGGCCGACAGATTATGTTGAATACCTACCCTTTATTGGTGATCGTTGTTTGATACATAATATGTTTTCATGGCAGCTGAACAAATGTCTTTTCATTGCATGCTCTTTGACTTTGACCGTTGACTTGAGCTTGCTGATAATTGGGAGAGGTTGGGAGGGGTGAGGTTGGGATTTATTCTTTACTTCACGTGGGTCTTGATTGGGAACAACGGCGGTTCTCCCTCAAGAGATGATCACCTCGTATATTGGTTTATCGTCTCTAGATAAACAGTGTTAATTGTAAAAAAGTACAAAATATTCATTTTTAAAAAAAATTAATCTCATATTCACGAGAATATTTTGACGTTCTGCTTGATCTTATCATCTGGTGGGTTCTGCGTATAACTTTGTATGCTAATTGCACCATAAATGCTGTGCTGCATTCACTATTGCAAGAAGACCCAACAGGCGATAATTGGATATAAGAACCCTAATCCAATGGATAAGATAAATCGGAGCCAGAATTAATTCCATAATATGTTTGTTCAACCTTCAAATTCAGTAAAGCAGAAAAACTACTATAACGATGTCAAAAAAACTACTGTAACGACTACTATAACGATGTCACAACACGGATTTTTGTAAATTTATATGTTTTATATTGAGAATTAAATCCACCGTAACATTGGCCAAATTTCTAAATGGCTCACATAAATCGAAACATAGTGTGCTCTATATCGAATACAATTTTTTCCTGGTCTTTTTATAAATGAATGAAACGTAACCTATTTTTAGCACTTATACTTCAAAATAAGTTCAACGTCAAGAACTACCATGCTGACGGATTTGAATGATTCCATATTTGCCATTACAGTACATATTCTACCTATTCTTAACTACGTTTTGAGGTCTGTTAATTTCTTGAGCCTTTGGGAGAAAAAATCAAAATTGAAAAAATCAAAAACCGCCCCTCTTGTCGAAAGATTAGAGCGCACACAAGTCTTGACTACTTGAAAAGAAACAAACGCACAATTTTGTTTTTGGCAATTACTTGACTGTAAAATTTGAGAATATAAATGTTCATTAACTTGCAGGAGTGGAACAATTTTATCCGGCGCTAAAACAGCATTTCTTCAGAACAATTGTACCCTAAAACATCATTTCTTCAGAACAATTGTACCCTAAAACAGCATTTCTTCTAGTTTTTAACACGCGATCTGACTGAAAGTCAGATGCCTCTGTCTAGGGGCGGATCTAGGATTTTCTCGAGGGGGGATTTTTAAAAAATTTCGAAAACTTTTTTTTTCCTTTTTTCCAGGTCGACCAAATTGATTTTCTGAGCTCTCCTAAATCACTATAAATACTCTATTTTAACCAAACTTTCTGCGCCGCATGCAAAATTTTGAAGGAACAGGCCAAAAAAGGCGTTCTAGGCAATTTTTGGAAAAATTTCACCAAAAAAATCGCGTTTTTTTTTCGTCGCGCGGTGCCTCCTCAGAGTTAGCATATATCGGCGCCAAATAAGCCTTTCGAAAAATTTTAGGGTCCGTGACCAAAAATGGTTATCTCAAAATAGTAAAACCCTTTGGGTCGGCAGGGGGTCGAATTCCTGAGGGGGGGTGCGTCGCCTCACCCTCCCCCTCCTAAACCAGCTGGTGCGCCTGACCAAAACAAGCAAAAAAAAAAATCCTGTCTGGACGTGACCAGCTCGATTCGACAGAAATTTATCTCGAGAGGGTTAAGAATTTGGGCGGTCAGGCAAAATTCAGTTAACTGCAGGATAAGTTCAAAGTTTTCCTTTTCTTTTTGTTCCGAAATCCGTAGAAAAAAAAACAAATATTTGCGCATCGTTGGGTCGGATTTAGGGGGAAGAAGCGAACGCCATTTTTCAGCCTTGTACTATTTAACGACATCCATTCTCGGTCAACTGAATCTGAAATTTTTCTAACGGCGTCTTTAGCGCCAAAAAAAAACAACTCTGAGAGGGAGCGCGCGCCAAAAAAAAACTTCCAAAAAGTGCCCAAAACTGCCTGCGGCAAATAGTATTTTATGGTGCTTTAAGAAAGCAATTTCGTTGACTCAAATTAATATCATCAAAATTTCTCATTCCACTGAAAAAATTTTGACATCCTGAGCTCAAAATTCGAAAGAAAAATTTGCTTTAAGAGAGCAATTTCGTTGACTCAAATTAATATCATCAAAATTTCTGATTCCACTGAAAAAATTTTGACATCCTGAGCTCAAAATTCGAAAAAAATTTTCACCTTTTTTGTAAAGTTGAGTGAGTTTTGCCATTTGCGTATTTTGAACCAACTAAAGTGCGATGTATCTCATGCTAATAGGGCGTGCGCGGCGATTTATTCTGGATCAAAAATTGTTCTGAATTGAATTAGATGACACTATTTGCACTTATTAATACGTTGTTAGTCGGTAATTACGATCTTTTATGATATGCGTTCAACATACTGTGTTCGGGGAAGTTTTTCAATTTATATTTTTGCCAAATTCTTTCTATTTCTAAATTTTTCTCAAAAATTAATAGATAAATCTTGAATGTCAGACGGAAATATTGCTTCAATTTGGAACGAGCATCAGTTTTACTATAATTTACAAGGCCAAACAAGACTGCTCGTATCAGGGCGAAGCCCTGAACGTTCCGACTGCCTTTTAAGGTTTATGGAGCAGTAATAACATTTAAAAAAAAATTTAATAAAATAAAATGAATTTTTTTTTCTTCTAAAATTTGAATTGTTTTTAAAAATTATCCCCCCACACGCCATATAAAGTACAAAAGGATAGATTTTGCTCCTTGTAACAAACCAATTATGGCGAAAAAGCTTTTTTTAACCAATTTGGAACGATTTCTAAGACGGATTAACTCTCCGCTTACGCGTTAATAGCGCGAAATATATCGCGTGTTAATTGTCCCAAATTGACCAAAATGGCAATCTTTAAACCCCCATAACTTTACGAAAAATGATCACAGGTGAAATATCTTTTCAAATTTAAGCTCAGGACAACAATAGCTTTCGAATGATATAAAAAATTTCCGTCAAAAATGGCTAGTTAAAAAGTCGAAATTTGTCTGAAGAAAAAAAAAACCCACCCCGAGCACAAATATTCCGTTACTTTCGTATCGAAAGTCAGAACAAAAAGAAACTGTTCTTCTATTATTGAGTATGAACATTATTGAAGATTAAAATATAACTAATTAGATTAAATTTATCAACGCAACAATTACATTTTTTTGAAAGTAACAAAACAAATCATGTTACATTATTTGAAAGTAGCAAAACTAATTGCTTTTTTGGCAGAAAATTTCGTATGTCTCAATAAAAACTAATTCTAGACCAACGAAAGCAGACTTAAGGACGCATAATGACTAGAAAAAAAAACTATAGAACTTCTAAATTAGTTCAAAATTTCATTTTTTTTCGGATTTCTCACTTTCCCAGTATCATCAAAGACATCATTTTTGTCTATTAATTAGAGTATTGAAGAAAGAAAACGTTCTATTTACAGTAATCTATTTACAGCTACCTTAATATTCATTTTGAAACTCAAATTTGTTTTTAATATCATTGAACCACTTAATTGATTGCTTCTTAGATTATGACACAGATATCTGTTCTACAATTGTTCTTTTCATCAACAGTTTCATAAAACACAAAAGTTGCGTGTATTTAAAATCAAATTTTTCAAAGACTCCACTTTTTGCTAGACGAATATTCTATTTTAACACGATCTTTGATTTTCGGGTACACACTTCGTTGTAAATACAACAAGATAGAGGCTGAATTGATTGTTAATCTGATCATTTCAAAA